GCATCCCTGCTGGGTTTGTCAGGAAAATTTTGTATGTAGGAAAGCCTTCTTGGTTTAAGCTATGCTAGTACATTTGTACTGATATTAAACACATGAAATGTTCAGGTAGCATGTTGACATGTGTGTAAATGTGAGCAATAAAGCAGGGTGCCTGCCTGATGCAGTGTCCCTGGACTGATTCTTAATCCCTGTGGTTTTGCAGAAGATTAAAATAATTGGGATCAGTGCCACTGGGGATGCAGGCCACCTGCACTGCACTGCAAAGCTAGTCCCTCCCTGCTTTTACCCTTTTACCCTTTCTCTTTTTCTCTTTTAAAATGTTACTGCTCAGTTGTGCCCTGTTGCAGTGGAACCTCATTGATCACAGCTGCCTAATTTCCTGTTTCTTCAGCAGTATTTAAAAGCTTTTTTTTACTATTTTACTAGGAAATGAGTAGATAGTTTTCAGGCTTTGCAATGGAAAGTGGCTTTGTTAGTATATGCTCTTGTTTAATATGGCACAACAGCAGCTGCACAGGAGACTGTCAAAACTAAATAGCATGCCTTCATTTGGCTAAACAAGCCTCTGCCCTACCTCCTGTCTCAAGGGTTGCTTCCAAGCAAGAAGAAAGGTTTTCCTCAGATCTGAATCCCAGCTCAAAATGTGACAAAAAAACGCCCACAATGAAAGGCTGGTCTGTTGGTTTTCCACAGTGCTGACCTTGCAGCATTGCTACAGTATAGAAAACCAGGAAGAGCAATAATACCTTGCTGCAGCTGCAGTCCTTTAAAAGGGAAAAAGTTCTTGGTGCACAAATACAAAAAGTCTTCTCTTATAGGAAAAGTATTAATCAACTGTCTTCTGAAATATTTTTGCACAGTGATGCAGTCTGGTATACTGATATTGATGTTCTCAGTGTAGTGTAAGGTTTTTGTTTCGTGTTTTAGGAGAAAGGAGTTGCTTTTGCACCATTCAAGTAAAGACTGCCCGATGTTTAACAGGCTGCTGTAATCAGGAGATATATAGTAATCTAATAACAACATTAAAATCTAAATCTCACAAAGGCATCTTTTCAAAAGCAAGTAATTACGGCCTGATAATAAAAGGTTATGTGGCCAAACTGCTTTCAGTGAAAGCTGTAAATATGTTCTCTGCTGACAGAACTTACACCAAAGAGTTATCAGTGAGGTCTCCGGGTAAAAAAGTAGTTTGAATAGTTTTCTGTTATAATTCCTAGGCATCTGGCAACATTGTGTGGCATTCTTTCATACCTCTGTTTTGAGGATTCCTAAGAGAAGAGGTAACTGAGAACTGACAACAACTAACAAAAATGAAATTTTGAAAAATTATTGTACTGATTTCAAGAAGTGGGATTGTGCTGCTTAAAAAGAAGGAACAGGAGTATGTGTACGGCAGAAGCTGCAGTTTCAGCAGTGCGGCTGTGCCCAGAGAGGGAGTTAAATCTAGAACTGTGCAAGCATGAGCTCTGTGAGCCTGTAGATGAGCACAGTGGAAAACAGCTTGTAATGTTTTCAGGGTGGATTTGTTCCTCCCAGCAGGGTGAACAAACAGCAGTAATTCCAAGGTAATTTGGCTGTGAATTAAAAATCATTTATTGTACAGCAGCACAAAGAACTGAAAAGATTCATTGTAGAAAACTTGTTCAGACAGAGCACTCAATTTTTTTCACTATTTTTCATGAGTATTGGCTTCTCTTCAAAGACACAGGGACGAACAAAAACTGATTTATTAAGAAAAAACCCTCTATAATTAATATTTACTGTCCTTCTGCTAGATATGTCTCAAGGCAAACAGTCAACAGAAGATAATTCTTTTCTCCTTGTCCCTTTGCATCCATGTTTCCAGGAGTAGAAGGAGTGGTTCTTTTTGAGGGATGTCTGGCTGCAAGTAGTTGAGCGGTTAAGTGCTTTGGTTTGCTGTCTGCTGTTCTAGGCAATTTAGGCAATGGTTTGCACTACTAGTGCATGGTGGAGCATCATCTGCCTCTTTTGTTCAAGCTGCAGGAGTCATTGAGACGGGGTCTGTGACTGTCTCTTCTGAGATACTGGGTAGCAGGAGGCAAAGCACCTCTTTAATTGAACACTCCTTCCTGGGTGGATTGGGAGAGTCAGGACAGGGCCCTCCACAGCTCAGCCATTGCTCTGGACATGGGAGCTTTGAGCTGAATATGTGATGAGGGGCCTGTGCCTCTCCACTTGCTATTAGCGTGAACCAAAGGAGTGTCTTTCTCCTGTGGGCATTTTGAATTGACTTAATGGAATCATCTTTATTTACTTTTTCTGTCAAGCGGGAACCAGTTATTAATGAAATAAGAAATTGTGATAAATATTAGAGATAATGCTAATAGTCCCATGAGACACTTTATGTCTGCACTGAAATGGAGAAGTAGAAAAGGAAGTTTGGTAGTGAAAGTAATTTTTTAAAAATTTTATTTTATTTTATTGTGCTGGTCCAGTATAGGGGTTACAAAGTTATCTGTCTGAAATCAGGTACATACTCTGACTATTCAGATCCATACGTAGTTAAGGCTTTCCTCCAAATTTTGTTTTCATTTGTGAGAAAATAGAAGTTTATCAAATTGTGGCTTTTTATAGTATTTATTATATTTATATATCCAGGGATTTTCCATACTTTTTGAAAAAAAGGTCTAAGTCAGTAAAGTCCTGATGACTACATTTGGCAGCAGTGCTGTGCCTTTTGAGAACCTGAGTTTTGGGTAATGGCTTTTCAGCTTGGGGCATACATTCCAGGAACCAGTCGCTTTCAGGAGTTGCTCTGTGCTCTAGTTTTGATCAAAAGTGATGGATGTGTCTTCTTGGTCCTGTTTGTGACACTCAGCCATAAGCCGGGTTTGCTGTTGGACTGTCTGGGTTTGTGAGTGATGGAGTGGTAAACTTAAAAAACTTCCATGTTGGCAGCAGCTACACTGGCATTTCAGATCCAGCTTCTTAATTCTTAATTTTGCCTACCAAAGGACTTGTGATAATTAGAGAGAGCAGCAACTGGCCTGTACCAGTGTGCAGTCAGAAAGATACACAGCTGGTCATACTGGTTGTGCAGAACAGGAAACTAGTGATGAATAGAGGAGAAGGAACTGCTGGTGTTTAGTCTGAAATGGCTGCAGGGCTCAGCAGGATGAATGCACAGCTTATCCAGGTCTGTCCAAGATAAAGCAATACTTTATACTTAATGTATTTGGCCAACCAGACAGGAAATACTGCATAAAATTTGTCATTGGTTCTTAAATGTAAGCAGTGATGAAATCCCTCCACAGAGAACGGATATCACTCACTAATGGATTTTGCCGCCCCAAAGAGTAATGACATTTAGGTCATTCATGCCCATGGTGTTGTGTCATCATTAGAAAAACGCTGGAGGAAGGACTTTCTTTTGTGAAATGTCTGACATTCACAGACATTAATTTTAGACAGTTGGATGATGGTTTTTGCATTGTTGGTGAGGCAAATTTCATGCATCTGGCCGAATTTCTTTGAACCAACAATTAAAGAACCCAAACATACTGCAGAGGAGTCTAACTGAATGGTAGAAGATGCAAAGAAGTCTTTAACCTGTTCTTTGTAATCTCTTGGTTACAGGAAGGAAAAAAAAGACTGGTTTTAGTGCACAACTTTTAGCCTACTTCTAGAAGGTGACAGCACTTTTAGTAGCTGTTTTCAGGAGCATACCAGGTTAAATAAAGAGCTCTAAAGTGCAGGAAAAGTTAATCAGAGATATTTATGGGATCTGGAAAGCTATATTCATTTTCTGGTTAAACTGATTGTATTTAAACAAAAACTGTTTTTCATAATTTCCTTTTAAGTAAATTTTTAAGGTAAACAGAAAGCAGATTTTGATAATGTGAGCTGTTCTTAAATTTAGCTCTTTCTTACATTGCTTGTAGGAGGGAGGTATGTGTACAATTCATTGTGATTTTTTTTTTTAGTGCCCATAAGAAAGCAGTGTAGCCACTAGCATGTTATACATTTTGATTAAATCTCCTTTCTTTGTGCAAAGACACATGTGCAGGGACGCTAATGTGACTTTCAATTTCCTTAATCAAGTCCTTCACTGCTTAGATGGTCTTCATAGAGAAACCTGTGAATACGAGAGACAATCACATGGGCAGAACAACTAGTCTGGGCTTTCCCTTCCAGCCTGAGGCACACCAGAGTGTTGAGGGTGTTTAGCAAGACGGGGAGTTGAGGTTTTTGCCCTTGCTATCACTGGGAAGGTGCTTTCCTTCTGAAGTAGTTAGTCGATTGTTTGGAGGATCCCAGGGTTACGGATGCACTGGCTATGGGTACTTGAATCTGTTTGTTTGAGGCTGACTCCAGAATCCCTCTCTTATGAGAGCAGCTTAGTGAACTGGCAGTATTATCTTTCTGCTGTGTCCAAATGTGGCCAAAAAAGTAGAAGTGTAACTGTTTTTTGTGGGTTTGGTGGGTTTTTTTTGTATGTTGTTTTGTTTTGGGGTGGGTTGGTTTTTGTTTGTTTTTTCCAGGCAAGAAAATCAAAGTAGGTAAAATCCAGAGGAAATGAGGCAAACACATTTATGGTGAATGGCTAAATAAAGCTAAATGAGGGCTAGCTAAATACAAAATCAAAAGTGGATGCAAGTATTCCTACACTTTTGAGAAGTGCAAGCATAAGTAGTAGGTGGAGATGCTTGAATAATTTGCATGGTCTGTATTTGTAGCAATAATGTGTGAGAGGAAAGGATGTAGGAGGAGTACAGAGATTAAAATAAGGAATTAGGTCATTATCATAAAAAGTAAGCCTTTCACAACATAAATCACAGGATAGCTTCAAATTTAGTTGAAAGACTGCATGGCATATACTAGGGAACAATCAGTAAAGGACAATTGGATGGATGAGATGGCAGTTTTCTCCTAATCATGGTAAATCATGAGTATTAGTGACCATAATAACAATTTCTAGATGTGCTGCATTTGGTGTTAGACTGATTGTTTGTAAACCTTCTTTCTGTTTTTATTTCTAGGGCTCTTCCTTATCTTAGGCTTGATACTTTACCCTGCAGGTTGGGGGTGCCAGAAGGCGATAAGCTATTGTGGACCTTATGCTTCTGCTTACAAACTAGGAGACTGCTCCTTGGGCTGGGCTTTCTACACAGCTATCGGCGGCACTGTTCTGACATTCATCTGTGCGGTCTTCTCGGCGCAAGCTGAAATAGCCACATCTAGTGACAAAGTGCAAGAAGAAATAGAGGAAGGAAAAAACCTTATCTGCCTCCTTTAACTCCAGTGGGAAAAAATACCAGCACCTGGATCGTTACCTGCTTTCCATTGACTGGGCAAGCAGATCCATTTACCTGTTTTTACCATTTGTGTGATTGAGCCCCATGCATTCCAGCCCTGAACTACTGAAAGGGTCTTTCTTCTTTGCTGGGCGATGAGGATCAGAGAAAGGATCCCAAGAAAGCAGAATGTAAATACTTGGGGATATTTTTAGTTTCATTCTGTGATCAGGAAACAGTGGAATATATTAATCCAACTGGGGATGTGAGTAATCACATGTATATAGCAGAAATGTTGTTAAAACTGAAAAATTCTGATTGATTGGATTGCCTAACCCACCTTGGTCACTCCGAAGAATTTGGGTTTAAAATAATAAAAGCCAGCACATTTATTTTTCTTAAGCAAAAGAGAAGCCTATTTTAATGAGGCTTTGTTTCCAAGGGCTCCCCTCACTGGTGAATATTTCTTCACCATCCCCTGGTTTGGTACCATTTTCATGGAGGTGCTTTCTGGTACTGAACTTCCTAGAAGTACAGTGCCTTCTTGGGTATTAACTCTATGCTGGAGACAGCAAAGCTGATATTTACACCAATCTTAAGGCATTTAGAAAGTCAAATCCTTGACAGGTTTCTCTCTCTTGAAACTCAAAGGTGTGGCAACTTATTACTTAGCAGGTAAATATTGTTTCCACTGACTAGACAGAGAAGTTGTTGTTAGACTGGCTCTCCTGATTCAGATAAAACTGAAATATTTCTACAGACTTTATTAAAGTTTCTGAAATCTCAAGCAGATAACAGCTCCCCACAGCACCAGCCTTATGTGGGCTGCAGCCTCTACTACAACTATGGATTCCACATTGTACTTTTTCTCTTGTCAGTGAGATATCATTCCCAGTCCACAGATCAGTCTGTATCATGACCCAGATGCACATGAGTCTTTAGGAAATCTAAATCTTTGAAATCTAAATTTTTCAGGTATATGTGGCTGGGAAGATTTATTTTTTTTTTTTTTTTTTTTTTTTTTTTTTTTGTGTGTGTGTGTGTGTGTGTAGTAGTAGAGCTTTTTCCAGCTACATCGGCAGTAATTAAACAGACCTTGCCACAAATGCCATTTTTTTCTCAAAGCCAGCTCATTTTGTTATTTGTGGTGTTGCCTCACTTACTAGAACTACTTCTGATACCAAGTTTGTAAGGTATTTTAACAAACAAAAGAATGATGCAACTGTGCCATAGGAGCATTGGGGATAACTGATCTGAGTAGTTCTAATTAAATACTAGGTGAATTTTAGATTCCTTTTCTTACTTCTTGGTAGTTTAACATCATCTAGTGACAGTGTTGCTTCACTATTACACAGAGCAGAGATTCCTGGTTTTGCCTGGTCAGTCCCTTAAAATGTGCCATTAGTTATTAAAAAATTGTTGTTACTGTCCAGGTAGGTATCTGCTTTCGGGGCACTGCTGACGTGCCTCACAGGACAGGAGCTGTTCCGGAGCCCTGCCGGCAGGCCCGGGGCAGCCTGGAGGATCAGCGAACGGTCACGGAGCTGGGCTCCCCTTCCTGCACCTGCTGCCCACCAGCCGCAGAGCAGCTCCAGCCTGCGCCTCTGTGCCAGTGGCACCTGCAGCCTGTGCGCTGGACAGACACACAGGTAACCTCTGAGACGCAGTGCAACAAGGCCAACTTCTGCCTGTATTCAAAAAGGGATTGTTTTAACCTGGCCTCTTCTTGCATTCACCTGCTCCTGCAACCCACATCCACCATCTTCTACTTCAAAGCAGGTGTGAGTTTGTGGGTCCCAAGTTGGGCAACTCCCTGGGGGCTCCCCGGCAGAGGAGACCCTCCTGGAGCAGTTCTGTGTCAGGAACAAGAGACGCATTGGACTTTTTCGGTCTTCAGCTTCTGTTTATTGTTATCTTATCAAAACTTCAGCACACTGTCTGGGCCCAGACCTTGCATGTGTGAAAACAGCACAAAAATGGCCAACAACATCATGCTGCAAGGTCTTTTTAAGTCTAATTAAAAACTAAACTACCCAATTAAGAAGTGACACCTAAATTATTTTCCTTCCTAACCCAATAACTGACCCCTAAAGACCCGCAATGCAGATTTTTCTACCCAATTACAAGATACCACCTAAATCCAGGAAGAAAGTGGAAGAAGAGAGAAGAAAGAAACTCGAGACAACACTCTGTATCCTCCATCTTGAACCCATCTACAACATACTAAAAATCCTAAAACCTAAATTTCTCACCCATGTGATATACTACACTACTCTCTACAATCTGTTTCACACTTTTGTGGTTTCTAGTTTACCTTGAGGCTTTGGAAGTTTTCTCCACGAACGAGGGTCAAAGCCAGTGTTTTCCTTTGAGTCAGAGCACCCCAGGGCAGACAGGGGGATATTCCCCTTGCCCTGGGTACCCACAAACAGAGAACTCATGTTCTTTTACATATTGAATTTAAATCCCCTCCAAAAGTTATTGTCTGGGACCAACTGCCTGCACAAATCAAGATTTTAATAAAGCAAAATTACCAGCACAAAGTGGTGCCTGATGGTGAAAATCAGAGCCCACACACCCTGTCCACACCTGTGTGCCTCGTTGGCTTTGGCCCATACACATCCCCCACACCTGAAGGACAGGCACTGGGCTTGTATCTGGGGCCCAGCAAGCCTTCCTCCAGGCATCCCTCCTGAGCCCCTTCTGGAGCATGCACTGAACCTGGGCCACCAGCTCTGCTCTGCCCTCGGGGGGGCCTGCAGTTGGAAAAGAGGGGGTAAGCAGTTGTATGAGTACTATATAAACCAGCTAAAAATTAATTACTAAGCAGATGTATGGCTTTAGCTGCCTTAGGTGGGTAGCAATCCAAAGTCTAGGTCACCACTGCCAACAAGTCTTGACACAGTATTAGGGTGAAAAATGCTGCACTGGCTTAAGCACTTGATTAGCCAGAATCAGGTCAGGTTAGTCCTTACAAAGGTCGGGAGAGTATACTCTGCTATGGTTGAGAAGTAAAAAACACACAAGCTTCATTCTGCTGTGATCCACATGATGCTTAAAAAAATTTCAATAGTACATTTTGTTTGGGTTTGGTTTTTTAAGTATTAAATAAATTTTCAGTGGCACATTTTGCTTTTGTTTGCATTCGTAACCAAGAAGAACAGCTTTTCTGCTTGTTGCTGGTATATTATCAGCTTGCTCTGCAACAGCATAATTAACTAACTCGCAGGAATATCCAAGTTCATCACATAGTACAGACAGAAGACAGGCTAGGAAGAAATACAGAGGAGAAATAATCAGAATTTCTTTTCTCAGGGTTCTGTTTTTCTAGCAAGTGATCAGGTGGTATATATGGTATTTTTTTTTTTTCCTGGATGAGGTTTTCAGGTGCAGGGTGCACTCATTAAATTTCACAGCTGTTTAAATTGCTCCTGAAGTTCACCTCAGCAGTAGCTTTCAAAGGCACTTTGGGAAAGAAAAAAAGCAAAATCAGCTTAAAGCTAATATAACTGATTTCATGAGCGGGCTGTAGAGTGTAACTGCTTCTTAATGTACATGCACTGCATAGGATCTAGAGAATTTGCTGTGGATTCTTTAAAACCTGTGTGCCAATTGGTTCAGTTTAACTTTGTTTTGTGGTATTGAAGATTTCTTCAAACATCTGTGGTTTCATCAACTTCTTAAACTTATATTCAATAAAGTGCCATAGACCTTTTTTTTAATTGTAGCATATTTAAATATATATATATATATATATATATATATATACACAGACTTGTGTGAGATGTGCAATACAAGGAATGGGTTTTTTTGGTTATTTTGTTGGGGTTTTTTTGGTGGGTTTTTTTTTTTTGGGTTTGTTTTTTTTTTTTTTTTTAGTTTTTGCTTTTAAGCAAGTGATTGGAAAAGGGACTTCCCAGGGAAGAAGTGGCTGGAGTTTGGTGGTGTGGATAGAGCATAACACAGTAAAATCACTGATGTTGAAGATCAGTACAACAGTAGAAAGAGCAGCTTGAAGATTTAACAAAAATATCTTCTAGATTGATTTGAATTACTCAGAATTCAAATCTGATTTCACACTTCCAGTGTCCACCTCTTGCCATTAACACTCAAAAAGCTGAAAAAGCTCAGCAAGGTTTCTTAGTGTGCTTTATTTGTAATGTAGCACTGCAAAAAACATTGCTACTGAGCTATTTCTGGGTTGTCTATATCACCTTTGTATCTATTTTACTCAATAAAGTTCTCTGGATTCTGAGATTTTTTTTTTTCCCAGCCAAATGATTTTCATTTTGCATTGTTACCCCCTTGCCCCAGAAGTTTCCCACATCCTAGTGGTAAATGGAGAGGAGTTCAGGCCTTCCTTGAAAGCCATGGGCACTGGTGCCTACTTCTCAAGGAAAGGGCCAAGTCCAACAAAAGCAGAGCATGGCAGCAACGCATACACAGCTCCTCAGAATAAGAAGTGCGGCTGCAGCGATCCAGCTAGAGTAGGTTTTGAGCCATGGTTTATTTGTGGTACTGTTTTTCTGTTCTTGACTCACCACTATGTACATTTGTTAGCATGAATGATGTACCTAATGTCTTCTTTTTAATCTAAATTTCAATTAAATGTGAGTTTTTAAACTTCTAACAGGAGTCTGACTACCTTAATACAAGCATATTGGACAAGTTGAGCCAAGCTGAGCTTTGATTGTAACTTTAGTAGCATTTAAGATCCCAGTCCAGTGATGTATTTCAGATTCCCATCTGACTTAAACATTTATTACTGCTTACTGATCAGAAGTATGTGATCTGCAATTGTAACTATGTGTTATACAATAGTTGCATTAAAGAGACTTTCTAATTGAATATAGCTCTGACAAAATGTGTTTCATTTTGCAACTAAAATACTACATTTCCTTTTTCATGAAAAAGGGTATTAACAGTTGTAAAACAAATACTGCTTCATCATACACAGATTTTAAAAATGGTGTTTGCCACAGTGTGTTTTAGCTTTCAGCTGTGATGAGACAAACACTAGAGAAAGGTTAGAGAGCTAGTCTATAGCAGAACAGGAACAAGGCTTTCAGTAATTTAAAGAAAAGTCAGCATGTCACTTATTTGTCAGCTGCAAGGGTCCACTTCTATTGAATCCATACATAATTATTCATGTATAGTTTAATTACACTTCTAACAGTTCCTAAACTTCAGAGAAGTAACTCTTAGTTACAACTTGGAACATCTATGAAACCTACAGTCCAGAAGTTAGGGGATAGATGCCACTGAATGCACCACTACCCACATCAATTTATGAATTTCCAGACAGGTATAGAGCACTTATTCTCCAAATATAAAACACTGCTTAAAGAAATTATTAAGTACTGATTTTAACAGCTAAAAATATTACCTTCCTTTTTCAGTAAAGTTAATGGTGTTGCCAGTAGCAGAGAGTTCTAATCTACAGTTGTGTGAATTGTTACACACAACTGTTACTGTTATTGTTACTGTTTCCACATTCTTGTAACTTGTTCTCCAAACTCCAGCAGTCACAAAGTGGATGTCTATTACAAGCGTTAGAGTGACACAAATACAAAGATATGGTCTTGTTCTGCAATTCACTGAAGGCTTGTTTTCAAATAGATGCCTTTTATTTGGAATATCTTCATATCAGTGACATTCGGAGAGTATAGGAATCAGTATCTGTAACTGGCTCTAAGTATCACTCAGTAACTTGTTCTGACCAAGGTAAAAGAGAAATAATGCCAAATTTAATCACATAGGTCTTAGGCTGGAGTCAATGATCCCAGGAGTGTTTAGGTCTTTTCCATCCTAATTGGTTCTGTGATTCTGTATTCTGACTACTTCCAGCTGTTCTCTTACCTTGGGTAAAAAGTGTCACCCCACCACTGCCCAATCCAGGACACGCATTTTTTCTTTCAAAACATCATGCACTCCTCTAAAAAGAACATGCATTCTTCTAAAAAATACAGGCACAGCAAAGACAATACTGCTGCACTGAAAAACAGTGCTTTGGCATTTGTGCAATGGCTACAGCTCAGGCGTACATTAATTGTTTAGTTAGGCTATAAACATGATAAAATCTAGCAGCATTGTCAGCTGGAGCAGTGGCAGAGCAGCTGATGCCACAGAGGCACCAGTGGTCAGAGGCAGCTGTGCTGTAACTGGTCTGGGCTCCAGCCAGTGTTGCTGACCCAATTCCAGCTGTACAGGGTTGCAGAGCAGAAGAACTGAGTGCAGGGCCAAAAGTAACTGAGGCCAGCCTGTCTTCCAGGCCTGCACCAGCCCTGTTTTTACTAATACAGCCTCAAACTTTATTAATAAAAATCACTCCCAAATACTTCCCATCTCTCCAGCTGGACATTTCCCTTCTTAAATCGTGGATATAAAGAAGTAAAACCTGGTATTCTCAATGCTGTAAAGAGAAGCTCCTCTGTATTGAAGTATTTTCCTTCACATCTGAATGTAATGTAACAGGAACATGAAGGAGCACTATATATGTATATATATATATATATATATACACACATACACTCATTACTTAGTCAACAGGAAGTTCCAAGTGTATTGAAACCACAACTGTTCAGTGTAATCACTTTCATCCAACAAAAAGCATTATTTTAGTTGAGCTGTATATATTTCCATTGAACTGCTGGAAAATTAATTTTTTTTTTTCCCCAGAACAAAATGTATGGCATCATGAGCCACAAGTTACACATCCTTATCAATGCCTTTATTCTTTTCCCCTCAGTATTATGTGACACTGTATCTAGTTTAATCCTTGTATCAAGTTTCACTGGCTTTTGCTGCTGAGCTAGATCTGCACTACTGCCTGATTATTCTAATTATGAAAATAAAAGCTACTTGCAGACATTAAGTTAATTTGTAAAAGAAAGGTAAAAACTAATTTGCACATGTTTTAATGTAACTGAATCAAACTAATTATCTGACATACTGTGCCGTACTATGGATTAATAATCAGAATGTTCTAGGTGTGTGCCTTTTCCTTGGCAGAAATATCCTCCCAGAAGAACTGAATTTATAATTACAGTTCTCTTAACCCATGCTTTTCTCCCAATGTTTGCATACTTTTCCAACTCCATGCTTACAACCGCTTGAGGAAAATAACCTAAGCAAACCAGAGGAATTATGGCACATGAAGAGCACTAAAACTGTGTAATAATTCTAAACATAAAACATGACTGGATTATATGGCACAACCATGCTTACTTTTACAAGAAAGTATAAAACCTCTTCCTTCACTGCCATCCTAGATCTGTAAATTACAAAGATCAAGTGGATGAAGATTTCAATACTGACTGATGCACGCACGTGAAAGTGTCTTCAAAAACACGTCTGCCATCTCCCAAAATAATCCCGACCTCACCTCAGAGCACTGTTCACTGTATCATTGCATGAATATGCATCATGCATTTGCAAACTTACCTACATCAGTCGTCTATATTAAGTCATTCAGCCCTTCAGAGGAAACCCAGTAGTAAAATAGAGAACAGGTGCTGCAACTGACATTACGTGAAAAAAAAAAATCAACAGATTGACCTAAAAAAAAAAAAAAAAAAAAAAAAAAGGAAAAAGCAGGACAGCAGTGACACAGAAATGTTGATTCACTGGCAGAAATTAGAAAATAAATACTACCAAAGCAAAGCTTTTTTCAGCAACTTCATTTTACTTTCAATAATGTTTTAAGAGTCACTTAACAACTGTAGAATTCCATTCAGTCATGACAGCGCATGTTTAAATTTAACCCTTGTGAATTTACACCACAAGAATGTAAGCTGTAAGTATTTTAAGAATTTTCTTTGTAACAGTTGAGTAGACTAATTCTCTTTAACTGGATTTATTGATAGTGGACATTTTGCTTCACCATTTCAGCAGAAATACAGCATCTATATACAGAATTATAAAATGCAAGTCAGACTTTTACATAGATCATCGTCCCTGCACTTCACCTGACTGTTAGAAGAAAAATCCCCATTATTGGTCAAAACTATACAGAGCGAACACCTAGGAAAAAAGTATTTTTTAAATTCTATGACACTGTGTTAATACAATAAATATACAAAACTTCTGAACTACCCAGACATGCAACAGAGGGACAGAAGAAGTGCATTTGTACAGAACCATGACATTCACCAGGATGGCAGAACATTGTTAGTAATTTACAAAATATACAAACATCTCCAGATAAATAAAAAGGACTCCTAACTTACAAATCAAAGACTACTGACATTCCAGTGTTTAAACTTCATACCTTGTACTCTGTCACAACACTACAAAAAGACAACTCAAGTGGGCGCCATACTCTGATTAATAAGAGATCGTAAAATCTAATTTTTGTCAGGTACAAAATATTTTTAACAAATTTCAGCCTTCTGTTGTCAAAGCTAAACAAACTTTTCCCTCCCTTTTGGGTTGCAAAGTGTCACAGATTTCTGGTTTAAGGAATTCACAGTGACACAACCCTGAATTTCACTCAGAAGGCTTAAATCTGTACATTCAACCCATAATATTACAAATCAACAAATCTTATACACAGAACATTACATATGTTTTCTCAAAGAACCTTCAAACATTTGAGAAAAAAAATGTACCTTTCAAATTCAGGTTTTATTCCTAATGTGTTTGGTGGCATTTTTCCCAGTAATCTATACTATTATGTAATCTTCAACTTCAGTTAAATTGTAAGAATGACGTCCCCAGGATTCCAATCCAAGATATACCAAAAGAATTCCCTAAATTTAGATTTAGAAGTAATCCATAGCAGAGTTCCTAGATACAACCCTCAAGTTAAAATATGAAAAGAACAATCTTGATATATAGTTTTAAGAATGACAGTCTCCCAATCTCAGCAGAGAACAGTGACTTTCATCTGGAAAGCTTTAAAAACATTCCACGCAAATTTAAGTTCAATGTTAGCATGTCCATTATTACCACATTTTAACAGCCTTGTTAGATAAAATATTTAAGCAAGTATATTCATTAATGTGAACTTCAGCATAGGTGAAACTATGACATTTTTTCAAATTCAAGCGTGGTTTAAATAAATTAGTAAATTTAAGAAGACTAATAGGAGAAATCATGCTAACAGTATATTACTGGTTCAAGGATTAAGCTAGGAGAGTATTTTCTTAAATGAGCTTCTGTTATTATGAATACAGTGTATTGAATCAGAATACAGTGTACTGAAATTCAGTCCATTTTCAGAACACTTAGAGAGGCCTCAGAACTTTATGCTGTGTTATGATTCACCTTAAGAGCTGAATTAATTTCAGCCATGGTGTGTACTTACACAAGCTGTGGGATGTCATCTTTCCATTTTCTGGAAGAGTCTGAAAAACTCTCTACATATTGTATGTAAGTCTCATGAGGCAATCCAAAAATGTAAGGTCTTCAAAGCAGAGAAACTCATACTATACCATGTTCTGTCGATATTATATTCTAGAATATTGTGATGGTATGTACCATTATGGATTGTTAGTTTCACAGCATCAATCTAACCTCTTGGGCCTCCAATTCAATGATTAAAATTTAACTTTATTAAAAATAAAAATCTCTCTCTTTGCCAAATCAAAATAGTTGAAATTTTTTTTTTTCCTTTAGCTTAAATAACATCACAGAGATGGCTGAGTTAATATTAAAATTCATTCAAGTGTCTGTTAAATGCCATTGCTTCAAGAGCCTGGTTTTAGACAACATTCCTGTTAGAAAATTAAATACTGTATAGTGTTTTGGACAGGCAGCAAACAGAGTGACTGTCTGGGCTAGAGATTTAGTACCACTGTTAAACATAAATCTATACTTGAAAAAAACCCAAACAAAAGCTAACCAAA